TCCTTCTGTCATGTTCTTCTGGGGTCCCTTCCTTTGGTTTGCCACTATGGTCATACCTGGTTATACGATCCCAAAACAGGCACTCGCCACTTTGGAAGCATTTGAGTCTGACATGGAGCAGTTCTCCTGGTCTATAAAAAGCTTACAGAGCAGAAGTGCCACTTAATGAGTAGGAAAATCCTTTCTCCCTTAAAGTTTGTCTCTGAACAGGCATCACTCAATAATTTTGGAAATTGTGACATAGTTCAACACTGGGTTGGGGCTTTGAAAACATCAAGCATGAATCTGAAACTGGTTCTGCCATTCTGCTCAGCAGGGGGTTTTCTGTTTACTTATTCTTTTCCCTATGCTAATTATGTACTCCAATTTTCAGTAGTTTTTGAGGTCAATTCATTTGATACCAGACAACTTTTTTTTTTGGGGGGGGGAGGAAGAGCAAGGAAGATTGAAAGCACAAGTAACTAGGAAACTTAAATAAACACAATTAAACACGAAATACTTTTAATGATCGTAGAATTGACCTTAGCCAATTAAAATTATTAATAGAAAAAAATGTCATTGTCAGATCTGAGCTCTACTGCCTCTGTTCCCACTTGGGTAGGGAGGATTAGTTTATATTTCCTGACAAGAATAGAAGAGAATTCACATTTACTCCTGACCCTTGTCCTCCCGGAAGATTGGGTTGGGATGGGATTGGACACGAACAAGAAGAAAATACAGATGTAGACTAATTCAAAGTTAATTTTTAAGCCCTACGCAAGTCAAATAGGCAGCATTTTCTTTTCAAGTTGTAACATTTTGTCTCCTTTTGGGGGTAGAGGAAATTTTCAGATCATAAACTTAGACTCTCTGATGGACTAATCACGTCAGAAGCCAGTCTTTAAGAGATATCAGAAATACATGCCCTGTATTTTCAGAATCACTTTCGATCACAATAAAAAATCACTTAGTAAAAAGTTTGATCACAGAGCTGGTAGCCTAGTGGTTAAGGAAGCCAGATCCCAGATGGCTGGCCACAGTTTGAATCCTGGCCCCAGGTGGCTCAAAAAATATGTTCGGTTCATATGCGTGCACGCCCCAAATCCTGACAGGATGGAGAAATAGAGAAGTGATTGCAGAGCGACCATGTCACCCTGAGGGGTGATTTCTCCCTGTCTTCCTTTCTCTCTGGTGAATGCAAGAGCCCTCTGGCAATTAAAAAAAAAAAAAAAGTTCCATCTCAGACCTCCACAACGATCTCTGTACGCTGCCTGAATGGGACAACGTTCAGAGCCCCACACGAGGCACTGGTAGAACTGTAGGTCATCTTGGCTTTGTTGGTTCTGAATATAGGATGTACCTTTAAGGCAAATAGGTGGTGTTCTCAGTCTAGCCTCTTATTTGGATTAAGCTATAATCATAAATCAGAAAATTGGGCAATGCTCAGAAATGTTAAGATCTGATTCAACAGGCGCATCTGAAATAGCATTTGTCTTCGGCTTCTCAATGCTCCTGCCTGAGTTCTCTGTCTTTTCCTCAGTAAAACTGCACCACACACTGGAAAGCAAAGATACAAACGTTTATTTATATAATGTCAAGGGAGAGTAGGAATAAGATTGGCCATAGACCTACCCAATCAGAGTCTCCAAATGAGAACCAGTCCCTTCAGCAGAAATGCTGAAGAGGCGGCGAGCAGTTAGCAGGTAGGAGATCTGCCTGATCCATGACTGAGCAGTATCAAGAATGCTAAGGTCCTGGACACTGGCTTGCCAGGTACTTTTCAGAAAGGAAGGCAATTACCACTGAGCTTTGAAACCTGGGAATAGAACTCATTTTCGAGCAGACGTAAGGTTGGAAAGTCAGGATCAGTTTGAAGTTAACATGAAGTTATAAAAAGAAGTTTAGGAGAGGGTGCCTCCAGTCCTTTAAACAGTAGTATACGTTTTTGTTTTGTTTTTAAGCAACTCGCCTCTTAAATTGTATTACACTATCGAAAGGAATTGTGTCTGCGTTCAGCCTCCACCCCTGGAATCAATCCAGAGGGCCTTTGAGGGGGCCAAGCCCATCTTTCTGCCCTTGTCTCCATGGCTTTCTGGTGAACCTGACTGTTTCCCATACGCTGAGAATCCCACAATGAACTCCACCATCTGTGTGGTAGGGTGGTTCGTCTCGGTCATGTGCTCTGTCAAGTTGACAGAGGTGCAAAGCTAAATGTGTGACACTCTAAGAATATGCATATATTTGAATAATTTGGCTAGTTCAGCAATTTGCAAAGGCACTCTGAAGGATCACACATGCAGTAACACTTGCAAGAACAGAGAGTTTCATTTCCTGGGAGGGGAAGGGGGGAAGCCCAGTATTTCTAGCTGGACTTCTTGAGCTCATTGTAGCTTTTGTTTTTGGTACTTAACTATGGCAACTTTGGTCAATTATTCTGTGCCGTGGAATCCCAGGTTCGTCATACACAGAATGGGAATAGTCATTTCTGTCACTAGTCATTAGCAGCTCTAAAAGAGCTAATGTTAGTGAATTCATCTTGTGAACTGTGAACCCTTAGGTAAATTGAACCAAGTATGTAATAATATTATATTATTCAGTTCAACGGCACATTCTCGATAACCACAAGAGGGTCCAGGAAAGGAAACTGTTTATAAATCTTTCCTTTTAGCAAAATTAATGTTGGAGTGTTTGGGGATATTCGTACAGCAATGAGTCTTAGCAATGCTTAGGTCAGCCCCTTGGTGAGTACAGAAAACTGCACATCCATGTTACAGGGGCTCCAGAATGTGAGGTGGTGCAGGGTGGGAGGTTCTCTGTCACCCACTCTTGTACCCCTGAAGAAAGAATGTTTTTCAGAGTGTGGTTTTTGACTGCATCCAAATTGCTTTGAGTCTTTAGTAAAATGCTAATAACTTCTGGACTCTGCCCCACTCTTCCTAAACTACATTTTGGAAGGAGTGACTTCATTGGTAACAATCACACATTTGAAAATCACCCAGGGAGATTTTAGGCACCAGAGAGGTCCAGGGATTGTAGGTATTGCTGTCTTGAAAGGACTGTCCTGGTGAATGCGAATTAGTTGAACTAATGAGGAGAAAATGTAGCTTTAAAGCAGGGACACAGGTAGGTGGTTGACAAATGGCTAATTGAAAATAGTCTCTGGACCCTAGCCAGGGCAGCTCTCTCCAAGGGTCTTGACTCCAGGAAATGGAACCCCCAGGACCCTTTGGCCTTCTGCGGTGGGAGGGAGATGGGGATGGGAGGGTGGAGAATTCACCGAGCCAACCCTCCCCTGCTCTTGCCCCCTACCCTGGTTTACGAAGAAGGCTTAAAGAAGGCTTTTTATTTATCTCTGCTGCCCAGGCTCATTATTAAAAGGGCTGGCTTCTGTGTGTGAGTTTCCTGGGTCTGGAAGGGAAAACATCTGCAAAAGCGTGCAATGCCCTGGAACGGAACTCGTCTAATAAAAGATGTATCATTTTAAATGCGCTGAATTTTGATTCTGGTAATTCGTGCACTAGAGTGTCTATTTCGAGGCAGCGGAGGTATCATATGACAGCGCGCGTCAAGGCACCGTGGGGCCCTCTCGTGGACTCCCGCCCACTTCTCCATACACAGCAGAGGGCTGCCCGCGCCGCCGCTCCCCCGCGAGCTAGCGTGCGAGCTCCCTGCCGCTGCCCAGATCAAATGGCGCTCCCTGCTCGAGGGGTGCGAGCGTTACCTCCGCCATGCGATTTCCACTATCAATAATTTAACTTCTTCGCTGCAAAACCGGGAGTGCAGACCGGGCTCCACAGACCCTCCGCCCCCTTCTTTTTCACCGAAGGGAACGTGGAAAAAAAAAATAATAATAAGAGTCTGGGAGTTTTCGGGCCGAAGTCTTCCCCAGACCAACTGCCTTGATGTTTACTTTGACAAGTAGTAACTGAAAAGGTGGGTTTGTTCTCTCGTCTTTCTTTCTCCTGTCGTCTCTCGGTCTGGTCTGCCAGGAAGCGTGTGGCTTTTCGGAGGTCTGTCATTGCCTCGGCTCCCTGGCTGGAGCAGGTAACTTGGTGTAACGTTATCTGGGGGCGTTCATTAATAAAAAATGCCGTTATTATCTTGATTGCATTCCTGTTGGGCGAACTCGGGAGAGGTCGGTGCGCGAACTCGCTCTCGGCTGGCGCGGAAGCCGCGGGGTCCCCCACCCCGGCAGCCTCATGCGCTCACGCTTCCCCTGAGGCTCGCGTTCGCGGCGCGGGGGTGCGGGCAGGTGCGGGCAGGTGCGTCTCCGGGTGCGCAGGTCCAACGCCCGCGCCCGCCCGCCCCAGCGCGCGTAGACGGAGTTTCCGCGGAGGGCGCGGGACGCGGGGTTCCCCGGGGCTGGGACTCGACCCCCCCTCCCCAAGCCGTGGGCGTCTTGCCGCGGCGCTCCGGGTGGCGCGGGCTCGCGGGGGGCAGCCTGGGTTCCAGGGAAGCGGGAGAGGGGGACCGACTGAGCCAGGTGCGGGCCGCGGAGCCCTGGGCGGCGGCGGACCCCTGGGGCTGAGCCCCGGCGCGGAAAAGGCGCGGCGTTCCCTTTAAGCGGCCGCCCCGAACGGGTAGGGGGAGCGCGGGCGAGCCGGGGCGGGGGCGGGGGGCGGG